TAAAACACTCTTTTTTGTTTGTTTGTTTGAGATAGGATCTTGCTATATAGTCTGGGCTGGCCTGAAACTCACAGCAATCTTCCTGCTCCAGCCTCCCTGGTGCTGGGATTACGGGCATGTGCCATCACACCTGCAGAAACAGCAGAAAGTAGAAGACCAGGACAAGGCAACATCACCTGGAAAGAAAGAAACAAAAAGTGATGAGAATTAGTAGCCTGGCATGGGAAAAAGGCACAGCTCTATAGAGCAAAATAGAAGGCCATGGTCGGGGCGGCAGAGGATACCATGGATCCAGTCTGGGGCTGCAGGATCTGACGGCATCACCCGGGAGACTCCACAGAACACCCTTTGGGGCCTGGCTCCTGCTGGAAAGCGTGCAGTGCTGTATGGAGGGCAGGGTGGTGCTCGGGCAGCAGGCAAAGCCGGGCACGTCCCACGCTGGCATGAAGCCACCTCTGTCCGCGCCTTTCACTTTCCAGATCTGCTTGCTCTGGTTCAGCCTGCATTTCTCCAAGCTGTCTTCCTACTTAGGAAAACTTAAATGGCTTTGGCTGTCAGGCACATTCAGCTGTGACTTCTCAGCACCCAGCCTGTGTGCCAACAGCGGCATTGTTCTTAGTGAAAACCCAGCTCAACACTGGTGCTGGTGCCCTCAGCAAATGCAGGCAGGATGTCATGTAGAAGAGGTAGAACGGAACTCCAAATCTCCAATTGCCAGGACACCTAGGAACGTCTATAGATTTACAGGGGATGACTTGACAGCTCTGACCACTGAAGCACTGGAGAACTTTGACCCTGGACATTTGCCTGGGCCTCCTCACCTAAGGATCTTGCCTAATCTCTCCACTTGACCCCTTTGTCTAAGCCTTATAGAAAGGCTCTGCTATGCTCCATACCCTACAGATAGCCTTTTTGCCTTCTGCCTGTCTGCACTCAGGCACCTTAATCCAGAGCCATGTTGCCTTTATACAAGGCTGCTGGTCTCTCCTGGTGTCTGCCTCATGATGTTCCTCATAAGGAACTTGAAATCACATTTACAGGGCAGTGTGTGTGTGACATGAGGGTAGATTTCTCTAGAAAAATGGTTTGGTGTCTTCTCCATGGTACAACAAACAGATTCTTGATCACTCTGGACATATTCTCAACTTGGGGGCTGGGAGTCAGAGGTGGAAGTCTTGTCTAGCATAAGCCTGGGGCCCCTGACACGTCTTGCGCTGCCTAAGAGTTCCATTTCAGTGAGAGCAAAAGGATGCTGGGATGTATATGCTGGTAACGTGCTATTATTTTAAGTCATCTTTCCCCCGTTCCTCTGTTCTGCGAGCCTCTCTCCAGATCCTGCAGCAGGCCTCTGGGAACGGCTCTGTGATAATTCATGGGGAACGTCATTTTTCTCCTGCCTGCTTTCAGGACAACACTGGGAGAGGCTGGCTGTCAGAACGTGTGTGCAGATGATTGTAGCTGACATCCCAAGAAACCTTCCAGCTCAGTGAGTTTGGGAAATGAACATACCCATTCTGTTTGCCCGTCCTTCCTGCCACCTTTATTCCACAGAACACAGAACACAGAAGCAGCTGCAGCTTCTGAGGCCTGCCTTGGTCTTTTGAGCAGTTGCCCAGAGGAGGGGACTGGATCTAACGAAAGCTGAATAGAAGCAAATTGTTTGTTAATCCCCTGAATGCACCATCCCCGTCCCTGGGTGGCAGGGCTGGCCCAGAACTCCAGCCACCTGGTGACCTGTTAGTACTCCCTGAGGCGTTGGCTCAGCAGAAATGAGGGGAAGGGCCATGGAAGGACCAGATCTCAGAGGGTACAAAGCAGCATTCCCAGACCTTCAGGGGTTCAGGTGGTTTTAAGCCTTTTCCTTGCCCCACTGGTAGAATAACCAAGTTTTGGAGAGATGGTGAAATTTTGAAAGTCTCTTTTGGTGGTCTGGAGATGAGGATGGATGAATACCTTGCCTGGCATGCAAGGGCCCTGGGTTCAGTCCTTGATCCATGGGGAGAAATTTACTGTTGGAAATGTTAGAAAAATAATGAATTTTTCTCTTGTTGTATGGTACTGGGGAGTGGACCCAGGTGGGGCCTTCATAGGAAGCTACATTCTCAGCCCTTCAGACTTTTCTTCCTTTTTCTGTTCTTTGAGATAATCCTTAGACTCTCTCTCTCTCTCTCTCTCTCTCTCTCTCTCTCTCTCTCTCTCTCTCTTTTTATTTTTCTTTCTCTGTAAATCATTAAATTGCCCAGGCTGGGCTCAAACTTGTGATCCTCCTGCCTCAGCCTCCTAGATTTCTGGGATTATAAGCCTGGGTTACACATATAGCTTGTTCTAAACACAGTGGGAAACCATGAGAAGATACTTAAGCAGAGGATGTACATGATCTACTTTATGCATGTTTTAAAAAATTGGCCTTGTGCTTACAGGGTAATGGTGGTAGTGGTATAGCAGACTGGTACAGCCTTTGTCCAGCATGCACTGGGCCTTAGGTTCCACTCATCAACTGATTATCTGCAGTTGCTGTTTGAAGAAAGCTTTGAATGGGGCAATATAAATGCAAGGAGACCAGGGCTGATATCCTAGAAGAGAAGATGAGATCCTGCGCCAGAGTGGTGGTGGGGAGCTCAAAGTAGGTAGATTTGAGCGATGCTGGAGCTAAAGCAGAATGGCTATGAGAAGAAGACAGGATAAAACTTCCTTGGAATTTTGCTAAATGGGGTGAGGGATAACTAGTTACTAATGACAAGCAGTTTTCTGGCTCTAAAAGTGAAGACTGAGTTTGAGACAGACCTCTCTGTTTTAGTAATAGTATCCCATGGGGTCCCATTTTAAAAATTCATTCTTTCATTCAACAGCTCCCTATGCTGAGCTCACTGTAAGCTCAGGACTGATCCTGGAAATCTTGGCAAATAAAGCAGAAGAAAGGCTGAGGCTCAAAGAACTCGCAGGCAGTCGGAGCAAGAGATGAGCTAATTATGAACACGTTGGGTGGTTCATGCTTCGGGAGAAAAAGAGAAATACTGGTAGGATAGGAGGGGTTGAGAGGCCCACTAGAAAGGGGAGATAGTTGTGTTTAAATAGGCTATTGGGGCTGGCCTCCTGGGGTGGGTGACATTTGGAAAACAGAAAAACATTCTAAACTGGGCGTGGGAGTGCACACCTGTAATCTCAGCACTTGGGAGGCTGAGGCAGATGGATCTAAACTTCAAGCCCAACCTGGGGAGAACTGGCCTCAAAATTAAAAAGAGGTGGGGGCTGTAGGAGATAGAGCTCAGTGTGAAGGCGCTGGGTTCAATCCCCTGTACTGCATAATACAATAAGTGAATTTAAAAAAAAAGAGTTTAGACTTTGAAAAATTTTAAATCTGGCACCAGTATTTTTAGATGTTTATAAATGAAGGGAGTTGGCTGCTGAAGTCCTGGGAAATGGCTTTGCCTTCGCTTATCACTGTGCACAGGGCCCATTCCTGGCCCTCAGTCTGCCCACAGGACCTCTGCCAGCGCAAGGTGCACCACGCCCACCACGATTCCCCCGGTTTTCATGTCGGCCGGAACGGAACACCTCTCACCTCCGGCAATTTCACATTCTTGTTATTTTTCAAGTGTCTTTTCTGTCTTTCTGCACCAAGCCTATGCCAAGTCACAATTTATCCCTGAGGCAGCATGAGGTCCTTAGAGTGAGGACTTTGGTTGAAGTAGGAGAATGAGAGGGCTGGCAGATAGCTCAGGGGTATAAGCGCCTGCCTGGCACGCACAAGGTCCTGAGTTGAATCCCCTGTACCCCCCAAAAAAAAGTAGGAGGAGAAGGAGAAGCAGAAAGTGGAGAAGGAGAAGAAGCAAGAATTTTGACGTCCTGAACTGACTTCTGCCCTGGTTATCCCTGGTCCTGCTCTATCTCCTTCCTGGGCCTTAGTGTTTTCCGTGGTCCCATAAAGAAAGGACAGACCCGAGCAACTGGCAGATTATTAACTGTAGAAGTCTAAAGCAAGGCTAGCTTTGCGGGCTCTGATAGGCATAGGCAGACTTTACGCAGAGGACTGGATAAGAGCCCTGAGGCTCTTCACCCTCGCTGAGGTGGCCCTGGTGCAAGTGCTGCTCCAAAAGTCACATGTGGCCTGCGCCAGGGCCAGTAGGGTGCCACCACTCTTCACAGAGGGTCCTGGCAGATGTACTCTATTTCTTAAAACACATACACACACACACACACACACGCGCGCGCACGTTAAACATATAGGCTCTGCTGTTTTTTCTAGTTCTCTATGTAATTCGGCCCTTCAAACGGTACACAGTACCTGATTCAATGACATTTTTAGGGACTCTAGGTGTGCAAAACTTGAGATGGATGCACACTATGCCACAGGTGGCATTAGCAACTAAAGATGATGCAAGACGGATAAGCCCCAAAAGCACTATGCTAAGTAAAATCAGCCAGCCGCAGGATTCACTGTGGCCTCACGTAAGTCAAACTCAGAAGAAGGTGGCAGGGTGGTGGCGGCCAGGGCCTAGGGAGGTGTGGTGCTGCGGCTGCTTGACAGGCAGTTTTTGCGTGAGAGACCTGAACGCGCTCGGCCACACTTTGCCCTACACGTCCTGCCCTGGAGTAGTTGGTGCCCATGAGGGTGCTTGGAGAAATCTCGTGAATCAATTAACTACAGCTAGTTCTGGAGCAGCAGCGTCACAACTCAGCCGAGCGGCTGGGATGGGAGTCGGAGGACTGGATCGGGTTGAGCGAGTGCTCAGGCGAGCGGGTGAAGGTTGGCAGGAGCAGCCTCCCGTCCCTGCGGGCAACGCTGGCCCGGGCGCAGCGCCCGGCAGCTGGCTGGTGCAATCCCCCATTCGCCTTGCACCGATCGCAAGGAGGGGTCGGAATCCAAAACGCCAGGAGGAGCGAGGGCGCCCATTCTTTAGCCTGGCCAATGGGAACGCGGGCCCGTCGACGGATCCAATCAGCGCGGGCCCTGCGCCGACCCGCCAATAAGGCGCGGGAAGAGGTCCGGGCCGCGGCAGACGCGCGCCCCGCCGCCGCTGGGAGACGCGGCTTGTCAACGCGCTGCGCTCTCTGCCCTCGTCGCCCGCCCCGCTGCGCCATGGACGCCCCGAAGCAAGTGGTCAACTTCGGGCCCGGGCCCGCCAAGCTGCCGCGCTCGGTGAGGCGCGGCTTTCGCGAGCGGAGGGAGAGGGGCGAGGGGCGGGGGACGCGGGGCGGGCGTGCGCATGCCTGGAGGGCGCGCGCGTGGGCAGAGGCGGTGGGCGCTCGGCGCGGCGCAGTGTGGTGGGGGGGCCCGGTCCCTCCGCCGTGCGCGCTGTGGGCAGGGCCGGGGCTGCTGGACAGCGGTGCGAGCTCGCAGCCCTCGATTCCGCGTGTGCCTCCAGGCCCTCACGGGCACGGGCCCGCACGCCCCATGGCCTCCCCGCCGCGCGGCTCGCCTGCTGCGCGTGGGAGCGTGCAGTCTGCGGCGGCGGTGCGGCGAGGGAAAGGGAGGCCCCGCCACGGGGCCGCGCCGCTGCGTGGACGTGGACGGGAGGCCACGCTGCTACCCGACGTGAGCGTGCGGCCACAGTGGCCCATTGTGGCAGAGCACAGAGGTGGGGAGCGGCCGCCGCGCCCTGGCTGACACCCGCTCATTGTTCTGCTGTGGCTCTGGGTGAGCTCCCACGAGAGCAGGGCGGAAACGGCCCTGCAGCCCCGGGGCTGTGCTTTGGCCTCTTTAAAAGTATTTGTTGCCCGCATAATTTGTTACTAAACTGATTACAGTGACCATTGGCAACAGTGATACAATGATAATTTATTGTCCTGGGAGGATTGGTGAAATCTTGCCTTCGGAAGAAGTGAAGTGTACCTTAGTATCTATCACTCACCTTGCTCGAACTTGAGGCTCAACTTGTGTGAGTTGCATCAGTGAGGCTCCCAAGGGAGCTGGAGGAGCTGACTTGGCTGAGCCTGTTGGCCTCCCTTCCATCCCCCACCCCCAGATTTTATTTATTTAGTATTTTTTTAACATACACGGGATGCTGTGCACAGCATATAAAAGTAACCTTTTATTTTTCTAGGTGTTACTGGAGTTGCAAAAAGAATTACTAGACTACAAAGGAGTTGGTATTAGCGTTCTCGGTAAGAGTTGATTTTGGATTTTGTGACTGCTTGGCTTTCTTTCTTTTTTTTTTTTTTTTTTTTTTTTTTTTTTTTTTTTTTTTTTTTGCGGAACCGGGGATTGAACTCAAGTCCTTGCGCTTGCCAGGGAAGCACTTATTCCACTGAGCCATCTCCCAGGCCCACTGCTTGGCTTTCAAGGGAAACTAATTTAAATGGACAGAGCCTGAGTTTCAACTGAATCGTCCCATAAGCCTTATGTAGATACGTTTTTAAACTTTAATAACCAGGGTTGTGTGTTTGCCTGCAGCAGTTCTGAAAACAGCCCACGTGCTGGTAAGAGCCTTAGATATCTCAGCCCACTGGGGCTAGGGGTTTTTGTTGGTTGCAGGATATGGGATCAGAAGATAATGCTCACATTTGCATTACAAACCATGAATAATGTATAAGATTGTTTCACAATGAACTTAAAGAGTTTTTCTTAGGAAAGGCCAGAGATGGTACTGGCCCTGCCCTGGGGGCCCGCTGAGATGAGAATGAGACTGGGTGTGGTGCGCCTGGGAGGCTGAAAACAGGAGTATCACTGCGAGTCTGATAAGCCTCTGTAGGCCATGTCCTAAATACATTTCTTAAAATTTTTCTTACACGTCAATACAAACTTACTAAAGTTTCAAAGTACATATGCTTTCTGACCTTGCACATGAGTAATGTCATTATTAAATTTCTCTTCCCTGATTTATGGGACATACCAGAGAATATTGGACCCTTGAGTTCTAAAGTTTATTTTCTTTTCCTTTGGGGGGGAGTTCCACAGATTGTGAGTCGTTAAGAGACTGTAGGACTGATTCAGTGTATTGCTTATTTGAGTTGTATGTTTTCCTGAGTTTGCTACATGTAATTGCATTTCTGTGAGGTGAGCTCATAGTGTGGAAGGCTACACACAGATGGAGTCCTGTGTGTGAGAATGCGACGTGTGAAGAGTCGCAGGGACCCCATAAGTGAACAATGAGTTTATGAATGTGACAGTGTAAAGATCATTCTGCAGTTACTCTAAGGTGAAGATACTTGTAACTAAAAAGTCAATTTGGTTCCTCCCGTAAGTTAAGTGAGCATGGGAATTTGAATAAAAAGTAACTGAAACTTTCCTGTATTATCTCCCTGTGCATCTCATAAACTCTTATATTCATTCGAAATAAAAAACTATTTCAAGTTTTTTGAAATAAAACTATTTTTGTTGTTTTATTTTCTACAGAAATGAGTCACAGGTCATCAGATTTTGGCAAGATTATTGGGAACACAGAGAATCTGGTGCGAGAATTGTTGTAAGTTTTTAAAAGACCAAATTGTGTTACTTTGGTTTGGTACTCCATAGGCTTGAATGCCTGTTGTATTGTTTCTTATGTTCTGCTGTTTAGAATATTCTGTAAAGAGAAATTAATCAAGTTACCCCCAAGTTTACAAGTAGCACCTCCTGCTTTTTGGTTGATTTTCCAGCCCGAGCTCATGTTTATGTACAATATCCAAAGACGAGAAATCATTGTATGGGGGAGGATTTTTTTCAGCACTGTGGTAGCTAAACCAGCTTGAAAGAAATTTACAGGACAAGGAAACAACTGCCCAGTATGTCAGCATGATTACCTGCCATATAGTTCAGGGGTCCTCTGGTCTGGGCCTGTTACCACCTGTCAGAATCACTTGATTGGGTATAGATTAAAAAAAAAAAAAAATCCAAGGCCTGTCTCCATTTGCTGAATTGGAATGTCTGGAGAACCTTGATTTCTAACAGGCCTTGTGGATTATTGCAAGAATTCTGATGGTAGGGTTCTTTGTACCAAGAATTAAACTCGGGATCTCACCTTGTCAGGCAGGTGCTGTGTCACTGGGCTGTATCTCTGGCCCTTATTGCAAGAATTGTGAACTCCTGGACTGTTGCTTAAGTGAGACTGAGGTTATCCACTCTGCCGTGTGTGCACATGAATATGACGACCTTCGAAACAGACTCCTTCTTTTGTCTTTGGTCACAAAAATAATATGTGTACATGGTCAAAAACACAGATTTTAACTTCAAAAGTTAATCTGATGTTATCTGTATTTCCATCCGGGATAATCATTTATATTTTAGGGGCTGTCCTTGCATCATTTCATGAGCACAATTAGAATTGCTCTGACTTTTCCATAACTTTTAAAAAAAATTACCTTGATAAGGTAAGTAGCGGGAGTGGGCTTAGAGTACTGTGAGGAGTAAGGGAACATTGCCGTTCTGGGTGCTCAGAACTGATGTTATTTGCCTGGCTTATGCTGAGCCTGCCTTCTGGGTCCATGTCATGGTTCAAGGGGCAGCCTTGTTCTTATTGGAGAAGATACTTGAAACCTTGGCCTGAAACATGTGGCATTAGCCACATGGCTCTGAGCCTCCTCTGACTGGAGTCCTGGTTGATTGGTGGCTCTGTCCTTCTGCCCAGGTTCTTCTGGGTACTCCCATCTCTGGGTCTGTTTGGTTTCTACCCAACCAGTTTTTTAAATTTAAAAAATTTTTTTTACCCAACCAGTTTTTTCTCCATAATTGTGCTACATCTGAAAAGCAAGCCTGGAACCCTGCCTTGTCAGTCATCATGCTGTTAAGAAGCTAGATGTAGTCTTGGGAGCCCTACTGGCTGCTTTGCTGTCCTGCTGCATCTGCTGAGTCCTGAGTGTCAGCTAGGCAGCTTGGGATGAGATGTTGGTGCATCCTGTGTTCCTGAAGAGCCCACTGTGCTGCTGGGCCCATTACTGTTTATGTGTCTGGTTTTGCTCAGTGTCTGATTCCTAAACTGTTGACTCCTCTGTGACTTGGGTTTAGTTTCCATGGCACTGATCTCCTAGAGCTGGCCTAATTCTACTGCATGTAGCCCTGTATGCTGCATCTTAACTTTGGTATCAGAAGAGTTTTCTTTATTTCCTGACTTCACTTGTTTTCTTTTCCCAGTATTGGGAATTGAATTCAGGACCTTGTGGTACTATGTTAGATTCTCAGATCTTTTGTTCTTTATTTTGAGACAGTGTCTCACCAGGTTGTTAGGTTGCCCAGCCTGGGTTTAAACTTGTAGTCTCCCTGCCTCAGCTTCCTGGAGTGCTTGGACTATAGCCATATACTACCATGCCTGGCTCTGGCTCTGGCTCTGGCTCTGCTTTCTTACTTAGTGACTTTGCCAAAGGGCCACCCGTGGTTACAGGACTCACTCCTGCAGACTAACTGAGGAGTTTGAGTAGGTCGCAGAACCGAATCCCATGGGCCAGCTTGGGTCATGTGCTCATCTGAAGCTGGGGTTAGCCACATTTGATGGACTGAGGGGTCTGGGGATATTTGCATAAGGAAATAGCAGGATGTGGGAAGAGGAGGTACTTATGTTAAGGAGACAGGCTTCCACAGTAGCCCTCAGTAAGCAGCCGGTCAAGGAAAGCATAGATAAATGACTAGATTGGGGTAGACAGAGTAGTAGTGAGACTACCATATTTCTTAAAATAAGTCCACCCAAGGGCGTCTTAAGACATCACTTTTTCTTGGTCTTTGACTGAGAGAATCTGTGTATTCATTGTTATCCTTTTTTTTTTTTTCTGCCTAGAGCTGTGCCAGACAACTACAAAGTGATTTTTATGCAAGGTGGTGGGTGTGGCCAGTTCACTGCTGTCCCCTTAAACCTGATTGGCCTGAAAGCCAGAAGGTGTGCAGACTATGTGGGAACAGGATCATGGTAGGCTAAGGCTGCAGAAGAAGCTAAGAAGTTTGGGACTGTGAATGTCGTCCACCCTAAACTTGGGAGTTATACCAGTAAGTGCTGGGACCCCTGTTGCACAGCTGATGGGTGGCTTCCCAGGCTGTCTGCTCTTCTTCCGCAAGCTTTCCTCCCTTGCCAGTGCATTGTTTGGGGCTGTGTGGACTGGGCAGCTGTCTGCAGCAAAGAGTAGCTGTAGGTCCTAATACTTAGCTAAAAAGACCGGGGTGGAGGAGTGTGAGGGGGGCATTGCAGGGTGGCTATAGAATGGTTCACTTGAGACCTGGCGTCACCTCCCGTGTGCTCTTGGGTCCACAGTTGGGAAAGCTGTCCCCTCTTTCTGGGAAGGTGCCTATGTCCTCCCAGGTTGCAGCACCTTTGCTAGCGCATTCTCATTGTCTCATGTGCCTAGCATGGGTCAGCGTGGCGGTACCTGCACTCCTTCAACTTTGAGACTGGATTCATGTAGGCTGAGAGTGATGAGGGCTGGAGTCTTGGGAGAAAGCCTTTGGGTTCTCAGTGGGCATAGGAGAGACAGGAGCTGGGGGCAGGAATAAACCTCACCTATCTTGTGCCAGTTCTCAAGGTTCTTTGTACCCAACACATTCAAGGGTGTGAACGGTTATCCTTTAGGGTATTGTGGGCATGCTGATAGAAGAAGGAGGGTGCTGGTGAAAAGCCTTGAGTTAGGCTGCAAGGGGAGCAGTTGAGTCTCCTGGTTAGCACTGCTGTACATGAGAAGAACCTGAGTCTCCTGGTTAGCACATGCTGTACATGAGAAGAATCTGAGTCAAAAGTCAAAGTTTCAAACTTGTTTGTATGATAGAAATTCCAGATCCAGGCACTTGGACCCTCAACCCGGAAGCCTCCTATGTGTATTTCTGTGCAAATGAGACCGTGCACGGTGTGGAGTTTGACTTCATCCCTGATGTCAAGGGAGCAGTATTGGTCTGTGACATGTCCTCCAATTTCCTGTCCAAGCCTGTGGATGTTTCCAAGGTAGAGTACAAGCAAGGCTGACTTGGCTTCCTCAGGGGTTCTGGTATTTATGAGAAGGCTGTGGGAGGCTGGGACAAGCAGAGCCTGAAGCCAGGGCAGATGTTAGTGAGCCAGCCAACAGTTGCTTGTTACCAGCTTTCCTGGGGTTTGAAGCCCGACAGTGCGAGAGCTGTGCTAATGGTTGCTGCCTTGTGGGCTACACTCAAGCCCTACCTTTGAAGGTGGCTTTTGGAAACTTTCTGGGAGTGGTTTGTCCTCTCCAAGGGCAGATGCCGGGTGTCCTATCCCAGGGCACCTTCGTGAAGCCTCCTTTTCCTTATTGCGGACACTTGGTTGCTGAAGGCAGCCATTGAGGTGTAGACTGCGTGCCTTGATCCTGTCCTGGGCATACACAGTAAGGAGCAGCATCTGCAAAGAGTTAAAAGCAGTGGCTGAACCAGCCAAATGGTGAGCTGTTTTTTTTTTTTTCCTTTTCTTTTTAAGGAGTGGCATAGTATGCTTTATATAAAGTTGGTCATGTTAACTTCTGTGTGTCTGAGAGAGGCTCTGGGTATTGAACCTTGGACCTTGCACTGAGCTACCTCCACAGGCTTTTTATTTTGAGACAAGTTCTTACCGAGTCGCTCAGTTGCCCAGGCTGGGCTTGAACTTCTGTTCTTCTTGCCTCTGCCTCTCAGAGTGCCTGGCTTACGGGTGTGTGCTGTCACACCTGGCCTTAACTGCTATTAAGCGTATATTTCCTTGGCATTAAGAATATTGACATGGTTGTGCAGCCATAACCACCATCCATCTTAAGAACCTTTTTATTTTCCCAGACTGAAACTTTGTACCCATGAAACAGTCACTCCCGCAGACCCCTGTCCCTGGCCCCTGGCAGCTACCCTTCCACTTTGTGTCTGTGAGCTGAGTTCCTCTAGGGACCTCCTGTAAGTGGAATCATGCGATACTTGCTCTTTGGTGTCTGGCTTATTTAACTCACCATAAGAATGTTAAGATTCACTTATGTGGAAGCACCTGTCAGAGCTGTGTGTGTGTGTGTGTGTGTGGTGTGTGTGTGTGTGTGGGGGGGACTGGGACTTACCTTGCGCTTGGCACATGCTAGGCAAGAGCTCTGTCAGTGAGCTCCGTGGCTGTCCCTTTCTTATTTTGAGCCAGGCCTCCTGCCTCAGCCCCTGAGAGCTAGTGTCACAGGTGTGTGCCACCATGCCACCCTCAGAACTGCCCTCTAAAGCCTGAATAATGTTCCATTGTGTGAAGCTCCCATATTTGGCTTATAGTCTGCCTTTTGTTACTGCCAGGCACTGGTACTTCTAAGTCATCTATAAATCACACTTCTCAAACTTGATGTCCTAAAGTTTTATGGGGGGACAGGTGAGGTTCTAATCTTGCACACAGAATACCCTTAAATAACTTTAAGCATCTATTTCCTAGTTTCTCCTCCCTTGGACAGCTTGTTCTGTTATCTTTGTGTCTCAGCAGCCTTCTCTTCAGCATCTTTCAGTTATCTCTCTGTATAAATATACAAATTTTGTGTAAATAGATTTTGAATATTCACATAATACGCATTTAAAAATGTAATTTAGCATTTTTACCATTTAAAATTTATAAAAACAAAAAAATTTTTTCTTGTATTTCTTCACTTAGTTGCCAGGAACATTTAAAGACCCTGTTTTATTTTGATTTTGTTTCATTTTTTTCTGTACCATGGATTGTCCCTAGGGCCTTCCCACTGAACTGCATCCCATTTTCATTCTTTATTGGAGGTGGAATCTTGCTAAGTCACTCACTGTGGTGCCCAGGCTAGGCTAAACTTTTGGTCCTAGATTTAGGTGTGTGCCACTGTGGGCAGCTCTGAGGGCCTGTGCACCCTGATTTTGTTTTTGCGGTGCTGGACAGCATGCTGAGCGTGCACTGCACCCCTGAGCTGCACCCCAGGCAGCAGCTCACGTGTGAGGGCTGGGTTGGTTGTTGCATGGAAGCTTCTGAGCACGTGAATGTGTCCGAGGCTGCCTCAGTGCGGGACTTGGGTCGCCCCTTGCAGGTGAGGATTAGGCTTGGAGCTGAGGTGCTCATCTAGTCCATGTGCCCGCCCAGGGCATGCTTCCTGAATGGGAATAGTCATTTCCTCACATAGGCATTGCTTTGCAGAGTTGAAAGTTTACATGCGCTGATGAGAGTGACCATGAACGCTAACATTGTACGGCTTTCTCTTTTTAAGTTTGGTGTGATCTTTGCTGGTGCCCAGAAGAACGTCGGCTGTGCTGGGGTCACGGTGGTGATCGTCCGAGACGACCTGCTGGGATTTGCCCTCAGGGAGTGCCCCTCAGTCCTGGAGTACAAAGTGCAGGTTGCAAACAGCTCACTGTACAACACCCCTCCATGTTTCAGGTAACAGCTACTGTGCTGTGGCCCTGTTCGGGGAGCCTCAGTATTTCCCCTCCTAGAACCAGCAACTTCTTAGAGTTAGCACCTTCTTGAGCAGGGACCAGAGGGCATATCTGGGTCTGCCCAGCTCCCCTCCCGTTGGCCCTTTCCTCACTGTTTGATTAATTTTTCTTCTGCCGTTTGGATTCTGGAGAGTATGTTGCTGTTTTGGTCTTGATGTGCCAGGAGCCAGGGTTCACCATTAACCCAGAGCTCCCTGTGGATGAAATCCTGGGACAGACAAGGCAGACAGCCAGTGTTGTGTCCCCGAAGCCCTCTTGAAGTCCCAGGCTTTCCTTCCTTCTCTTCTGGGCCTGGGCAGAGCTGGCTGCCTGACACTGAACACTGGCCCGGAGTGCCTTCTGTTGAAGCCCAGCCTTCAGGGGCTCTAGCTGTGTGGGCCTTGGCTTCTCCTTCAGTCTCTACTCCCAGACCCGGATGTTTAGAGAGATCTTGAAAGATTTACCCACTGCCAGAGGAAGTGTGCTCAGTAGGTGTGTGAGCTTGGAGAAGTCCCTGGATCTGTCTTGCAGCAGGTTTCTCTGAGGTGACAGTTTTAGTACCCTTCTCTTGGGGTACTATGAGGTTGAGTATGTACTTTGTATTTAGGAAATACCTATAACTTGGTGATTTATAAATGTTAGCTGCCTTTTTATTCTTAATTCCCAGAGACTCAGCAGGGGTGGCCACAGAGGAAGAGTCCAGCTTTATGGATTTATCTTTGTGGGGCTCGTGTGATATGCAAGAGAATGTATAGGGCCTCTGTTCATCCTCCAGCCCCATTTTGCAAGTGAAGAGCAGAGGCCATGTTTCCAGAAGTGGGGGCATTACTGGTTGTGTGTCCAGGTAGTGCAGTGTGGTACTGGAGCCTGGGTGTGCATACCACATAGCGCTAGTGCTCTTCACAAGCAGAACGGTCAGTGTGCATTTATTTGTATGCAGAATTCTGTCTCAGGAGAAAAGATGCCTGTTGAAGTCCAGTTCTGTGGCTTGGTTGGGTTTTTGTCTGAGAGTTCTCTTCCAGGCTAGAGTCAGGCTGGTGCAGTGAATGGTTTCATGAGTCTTGACTTTGTCAGGCCCTCTCTTCCCTAGGTGCTGCCTCTGGACCATGCTTCCTGTGCTGTAACTCACTGTGAGAAAGGAGTTTCTCCAAACTTAGCGTTCCAGTGGAAATTTCCAAGCAGCTCCTGAAGGACAGGGTGTTCTGGGACTGACCCTTGGTCACTTCTAACGTTGACTCCTCCCCCAGCCCAGTAGAAAATGTTTCTAAAGTGAGTGTTAGGAGTGTGGCCTGAACTCTGTCAACTGCTTCCCAGGCGTGAGGTTTTAGGCAGTGGGGAAGCACCCTTGGTCCCTGGGCAGCTTTGGAACAGAACTTGGCAGGCCAGTGGTGACCGTCCTGTGCCAAAGACCTCAAGAGCAGGGTGTAGGGCTGAATGGGCAGAGGGGAGGTGGTGGCCCTTACTGTTAGAAGCGGGGCAGATCTGCTCAGTGAGTAGGTCAAGGCCCATCGGCTTCAGAACAAGAGGGCAGGAAGAAATGGGAGAGGGCTGTCCCTGAAGTGTCCTCTACAGCCAGCAAGATCTGACCAGGGCTTAGCCCAGGGTAGGAGGTGGCAGAGCCCAGGTGAGCCATGTGAGCCATGTATTTGCTGCACCTCTCCAAGAATTACTTCAAATGTGTTTTTCAACAGTATAGTGAGCACAATGATAAGTGCACTATCATTGTTGGGTGAAAAATTGTTCGGTGGGAGCTGTGGGGAAGTAGACCAGGTGTCTCATGCCAGTGGAAGGGGAGTGACATCCTTGTCAGCCTCCCCCTCACTCCGTCGTCTTGGGTTGACCTTGGCCCCTGAGCTGGTCCACCAGGGTTGGGAAGATTAGGGAGACACAGGAGCTCCTTCCCTGGTGCAGGGGGTTGCTGGGGAGAGACGAGGGCAGAAAAGGGGCAGTTTCTTCCCCACAGAGACCAGAATACCATAGGGTAAGTCAAGACGCTTAATGGTGTGGTTAGAATTAGTGTAGAGGACACAAGATGGTGTATTAAAGAACTCTGACCAAGCTGGTTGCTTCGTTTTGTTTTCCTCCCTAAGAAGACAGAAGTCTTGTGTGACTGTTAATGTTAGGGACACCCAGGACCCAGTGGCTTGTAAGGTGACTTGGACCCGTCCTGTTGGACTGCAGTGCCTAAATCGTGCAGAGCCGCCCTGCTAGAGCCACCCCCACATGCAGGCATCGGTGTGCATGCCTAAGTGCCCTCCCCAGTTCTGTGAGGCTGGCCAGGAGCCTGGAATGCCTCCGGACTTTGTGTCACCATTGTGTAGATACAGGATGGAGTTTGAACTGATGCCCATGGTTTGGGTTTTGTTTTTGCCAGAGCTGAAAGACTACAGGCCCTGGGAACTTAGTTTTAGCTGTGCTGGGTAAATTAGGCAGCAAATAGTTGTTCTGTAGCCCTGAGCAACACACTGGGGTAGAATAAAGGGCCACAGTCCTTCCCTCACACTTCGTGTGGGCATCCTGAAGCCAGTTAGTGCACAGAGGAAAAGGTGCTGAATGTCCCCTTTAACCTCACAAAGCAGCTTTTCCTCACAAAGCAGCTTTTCCTTATCATGACTAATTGAACCCAAAGCTTAAATCTGTTTCAGCTGCAGTATTCAGCTGCATTTTTTTTTTTTTTTTTTTTTTGGTTCCTCGAATGCCTTCAGGGCACTCTTGGCCAGCGGGAGAGGTGTGAGGTTCAAACTCCAGCAACCTGAGGCTGACAGCTTTGTGGAAGCAGCCACTTAAAGGCCTGAGCTAGGGCCAGGCCCCCTCAGCTGCATTTTTAATCCAGTTATTTTTGTTTTAGTGAAAATGTGAAGTGAAAACATTGTTAATCCAGCCACCTTTCTCCATAATGGAAGGTGCTGGTGGAGCCTGCACAAAGATGTGCAGCAGACCTCATGCCGGAGCTGCCTCTGGGGAGAGTGGGACCGAGTCCTTATCCTCCCTGGCAGAGCTGCCTGTGGTCTCCAGTCCAGAGCTTGTCTGCAGCCAGAACCTTTCAGTCAGCCAGGGAGAATTCCTAGTCCTTCCTGGTGTGCTTTTCTAATCCTGGTCCCACAGGGAATGGTTTATACTGCTTTTAAATGTGTATTAAAGTAACATAAACAGAACATCTCCAAGTGAATACATTCTCTGGCATGTTCTCCAGCTACTTGCTATGCACCTAGCAGAATCTTAACTGGGAATGATACAGCTACTCCTTGGTGTCTGTTTGGGATTTGTTCTAGGACCCCCATGGATAATAATCATCAGATGCTCAAGTCCCCTATAGAAAATGGTGTGAATCCAGGCATGGGACATTTCCCTGAACTCTCAGCACTCTGGGAGGCTGAAGCAGGAAGATCATCAGTTTGAGCCTCAGCCTGGGCAACTTAGAGATTTAGCAAGATCCTGTCTTTAAAAAAGTGTAGTTTTTTGCACATAGCTTGAGTACCTCTTCCTGTATACTTTAAATCATCTCCAGATTATTTACAATATTTAATCCAGTGTAAATGCTATGCAAATAATTGTTAGGCTGTATTGTGTCGGGAATAGTGATAAGAAGAAAAGTTTGCATGTTCACTACAGATGCGTTTTTCTGTCTGAGGTGTTTGCATTCACAGGTGCACAGCGGCCACTGAAGGGTTCCCATGTTGTTCCTGATAGCTGGCTGGGACAGTGGACTGTATGTGGTCCTTACCACAACTTTGGATTCGGAGAGTTAGCAGACTTGAAACTCTGGGTAACAGTGGCAGGGGAGAGCAAAACTTAGTTTCCTAAAGGTATTGGTTATGGCTCTGCGTGGCCCACATGGCATGTGCGGTAGGTGTGTTTCTGGTTCGTGGTGGGCGAGCAGGCTGCAGTGTCTTAGAAGATTTTGCAGGAGAGGTTGGCAGTAACCTTCCGCAGCCTGCACACGTGTTCACAGTGGAGTGGCTGGACTTGTTGGCTGTGACTGAGGCTGGGGCATAGCCCAGGTGAGCCTCTGGTGGCCGCACATGGCTCTGGAGGTAATGAGGAGAGGTTGGCCCTGGAGCCAGGCCAGCCAGTTTTGGAATCCTGGCTTTGTCAGCCACTTTGCTGGATGACTTCAGGGAAGTCCACCTCTCTGAATCTGTTCCCTTAGCTGTAAAGTATGATTCTGATGGTTTTGGCCTTAGGATTATGTGATCAGTGTCAATAGTTGGCAGCCACACAGGCTTCATTCTTTTGAAGAATGAAGGTTCATTCTCAGTGAGGTTCATTCTCTTGTTTCTCCTCTTCATTTGTGCCCTGGAATTCTTAGTCTTTATTCTAGGAGCTGCAGCTGAGGATGTAGGCACTCTGCTGTTTTCTGCTTCTCCCTCTTGCCTCTGTCAGTAACTGATTTCTGTTGCCCTTGCTTCCTGGGGAGCCAGCCAGCAGAAACTTCTGGAGGCATCTGTAGGGTTCTGGCTGTTCTCCCAAGGCTCCTCTGGGCAGCCCAGTGTTGGCTTCTGCTGCTTTTTGGAGTAGAAACTCTGGGGCTTGGCTCCCCAGGTGAAACACTGAATGAGCTAGTGTGTATAGGGGCCCCATGATAAGCTTCTGGCTCTTAGAGCATTTTCTGACCCTGGCGATTTCCCCCCGAGCACTCCGTCATTGTGTGAATAAATGGAAGGTATTGGTAAATGAGGAGGTAGCTGGGCTCCAGTACTCCTACTCTGGAGTTGTGTTTTTTGCACAATTCCCATAGAGGACTTTTGTCCTGTATCTTCTGGAGAAAGCATTGCTGGGAGCTGGCCACTTACAACTCCCAGCTCAAGGATGGGGAACAGGGAGTAACTCAGGGGGAGAGCAGTGGTCCAGTTCTGGCTTGGGGTGGGGTGGGTGGTAGAGTGTGGGGGGATGGGCTGCTTTCAGTGAGGGGCACACTGAGCCCCTGGCACCTTTCTAAAGGCAGAGGCATAGCGTCCGCACACACCAGCACACCCACACAAGCTAGCCACCTAACACTTCACTCGAATGGTAAGCAGTGTATTTGTGTAGTGACCAGCGGATTTTTGTTTCCATGACATACACTCATATGTTTATTCTATGTCAACTAGTTTTTGCACACTTTTTATTTGGAATGTTGTATTTGCTTTTGATGTTTATTTCTTTTGCTAACTTGTGTTTATTTGTGAAAAATAACCAATAATAGTTCAAAATTATTGTAATATAAACTATTAGTGTATTACAAATTAATTGTTATACTTACCAAAACTTAGTGATGGAATCTTTTGCAAAACAAACTGGTGACGTGTCTGGGACACTGAGTTGGAATAGGAAGGAAGCCAAAAAGATCTGCAAACAAGAAAACTGGAAAAAAAAAAAAAAAAAAGAATATTAGCTCTCAGTGTTTCAGTTTCTCTTTTCTTGTTGCTAGGACAAAATACCCAACACCCAAAATGAAGAAAGGTTTATGTTGCTCACAGTGGAGGTGCCAGTCCAATCTCAGCTGGCCCCAAGGCAGCGTGGCACATGGCACAGAGCAGCCTTTTACAGCGGCAGCAAAGAGTAAGAGCAGGAGGGAGAAGCGGCGGTGGCACTGGCAGCTAGTATCTCTCTCCTCCTTACACTGCGATGCAGATTACCCGCCTCAGGGCCAGCGTGTAGCACTCACACCTGCACTCTCTTAAACTGATAGAAATGAGTAGTAGAGACATCTCCTTACATCTGCTTCATAATACAGAAATGATAGAACTTGAAAGAAGAAAGGAAGCTAAAAACATTTCAGTAGTGGTCAGTGATCATGATTCTGTGAGTGGTGTTAATAAAGTTAACCAACATCTAGCAAGCGATCCTGTATGAAGAGGTGAGGAAAAAATATTTTATAATATACTTATGCACCTTCTGCATCCAACAGTATGGAACTCATTTGTTATTTGTTCAAGACAAAGGGGCTCAAAAAGTCATTTAAAATGTAGATTACATCTAATAGGCCAAGTGATTGAAAAATAGAGAGTGAAATGCCAACCAGGATGTCCATTGGCGTCTTTACCGTTACATTTACTGGGTAGACATTTCATTGTAGCTACACCACCTACAGGATAAAAGGAAAGGCTAACACGACAGTGTAAACTGCGCCTTTCAAAGAAAGACAAGTGAGGCAAAAGAGGCTAGATAGGCTGTCCAGATTATAGCATTGTGTCATGGATTGAATGTTTTAAGATATACCGTACACAGAAAAATTATTGTATAAATTTGATAAAATTGTCATTTTTATATTGTCTGTTATATCATCTTCTAAAGATTAACAAAAAAAAATATGCAGTTTTTGGTCATCCTGTATTTAAATTTGGATGGTAAGTGCTTAAATACTGCTTGGCTCTTTTTGTATGAGAACCCCAAATGTAAATAAAAGCTAGCCTATAGGAAGTGGAGAGAGATCTTTCTCAGTTGGGAAGGGATCCAGATGGAGGGAGGGGAAGGGAGAGAGGATGCAAAGAATTGAGATGTAGTCTGTGTTTACTGGCTCTACACAAAGAACATAAACATTACTCAAAAAAAAAAAAGCATTCAGAAGATTGCTGGGGAAATCCATGCACTGTTCTGTATTTTCAGGATAGTTTTGGGCAGCTAGCAGTAAAAATTTTACTAGCTACCATTTGTGCAGCCCACCTGCCATGTACTCAGTGCTGTGCTCAGCGTGGGTCTTCCAGGAGACAGGAGGTTGGAATACTTGCCTCAGAAAGGGTAGCCACAAGCTGTAAGGGGCTGTGGTACAGCAGGGCTCCCTGGAGCCAGGAGCATGTGTCCTCTGCTGTTTGTTCTCCTTTTCTTATCTTGGTCTTTCTCAGCTCAAGCACTGGCTTCACTACCTCAGGAGCCTTCTCTGAGTGCTGCCTAGAAATCAGATCTAGTGTACTTACACTGTATCTTACAGTTGCACCCAAACTCGGTTTGCTTTTTCTCTTCTTTCCTGGGTTGGAAAGCCCAGGGAAGTTTCTTGTTTTGTTTCTTTGAGACAGAATCTTGTTATGTAGTTTAGGCTGACCTTGAACTAGCTATGCAGCCCAGGCTGGCCTCAAATTTGTGATTGTTTTGCCTCAGCCTCTGGATTGCTGGGAAGACAGGCCTGCACCATCACCTGAATTTCTGATTACTCAGGGTGGGTCTTACATCCAACTTGGAGGCCAGAGGGGGAAGGCTCTCTAGGATCTGCATGTTGGGTGGGAGGCTAGATTTGAGAAGAGCAGGACAGGTACAATGCGAGGTGTCCACCTTAAGCAGGTGGTTCTTGTTCCCAATGGGAAAGCCAGGACTCAGATTCCTGAGCGATTTATCCTGTGTACTGTGTCTAGTCCTACTGTCGGTAGCATTAGGACTGGAATTGACTGTGACAGACTGTGATCTTACCTGCAGTGTCACATCACATGGACTTTGCTAGGAGAAAGACCCTGAAAGTAGGACTTTGGGATGGAAAAGGGGAATGGTGTGAACTTGGAGCCTTCCAAGACTAGATTCCCAAACACAGGCACACAGAAACATACAGTAAAGGGGTGAGTAGAAAATAGAGCAGGTAGTATGTGGAGGGGGCAGTGGAGTTCAGGAAAGTAAAGACTTAATGTTGGGTGGAGCTGGGGAGAAGGACTTTGATGATGTCCTGTGGGGAGGGGGAGATTGGATGGTGTGATCCAGGTGTCACGGGGAGATGAATGGGCTAGGCAGGGAGGGACTGATGACTCCATTGAGTACCCTACCAAGGCTATTGGAATGGCCCCCTGAGCTGGGTTGGGGATGACCCTGGTCCTTGGTTTGTGACATACTCTTTACACTTGATCTACTTTACCTGTATGAACTCAAGTCTCACAGCAGTTTTTTTTGAATGTCTTTCCACTTGTGCAGAGGTGAACTAAATCTTTGTTTTCATCTTTATTTTAGCATCTATGTCATGGGCCTGGTCTTGGAGTGGATTAAGAACAATGGCGGGGCAGCAAGCATGGAGAAGCTCAGCTCCATCAAATCTAAGATGATTTATGACATTATTGATAAATCTCAAGGATTCTATGTGTAAGTCATTGGATTTCATCTCACACTTTGCCTCTTGTGAACTGGAAACTTCCTCTTTCTGCCCCTGAGTATGGGAGTTGAAGTCTTGTCTCCTGCTTTCCACCTGGGAACCCTCAACTTTGGGACCTGTGTCCAGTGGGTGGTGACATTTCTCACTGCAGAGACCTTGTTCTGAGGAAGAGACTCGGTTTGATCCCTGGGGTGGAGCCTTTGTCTGACCTCCTGCTGTGTGTTGCTGGGAGAAACATTTATCAGGGACCAGCTTCATGCTGTGTGTATGTGTGTGTGTGTGCGTGCATGTGCATGTGTGTGCATGTGTACCTTGTTTATACATAAAATTACACATATAGTAATATTTATACTCTGCTACCAAATTTCCTTTGTCTTATGCGGGGCTCTTGCTGTATTGTCCAAGCTGACCTGGAAGTCCTGGGCCCAAGCCATCCTCCTCTCTTAGCCTCCTGAGACCTATAGGTGTGTACCATTGCACGTGGCTTAGGACCTCCAGCCTTGCTCCACCATCGTTTTTTTGGTAGTACTGGGGATTGAACTTAGGGAGTGCAGAGCTACATCTTTAGTCCATTTCATTTTTTATTTTAGAACTGGTTATTGCTGAGTTGGCCAGGTTGGACTTGAACTTGATGTCTTCCTGCCTCAGCCTTCTGAATAGCTGGAACTGTAGACATGCATTGCTATGCCTGGCAGAACTCCTGTTCTTAGTGGTTTTTATTTGGGATTCACTTTGTTGCAACAAAAATATCTACCCACTGGCAATGAGGGAATTTGCACTCAATAGTTTATAGACTACATGCTATAGGAAATAGTATGCTTCAGTCCTGACGTAGACTTGTGTTTTTAGCCAGGAGTTGCACACTTCCCCCTGCATCCATGCTCCAGGAGTGAGAGAGTACCCTTTGGACAACTAAGACAAAGTGATAGGTTGCCATCGCCTTTCTCCTAAATGCTCATTGCCTGCCCCTGTGAACTCTTGACACACAGTGGTTCTCCAGCTGCAAACCCTGGGGGAGTCGGGCTTGGCTGGAGACCTTGGCCGTGGCTTCCTTTGCAGGTGCCATTGCAGGAAGGGACGCTTGTTGCACCTTCCTAGTGCTCTTGCTTCTGTGTAACAGAGGAGAGGCAGGTTGGGAGCCACCCTCCTAGTTAGTCCCTGATGCATGAGGTGTCTGGGAGACGCTGGCAGTGCTTATTGGAGCTCTTTTAATGTGCATGACTAGTGGTAGAGGGTTCAGGGAGTTCATAGCCAGAAGCTTATGAGTGCACATAAGCTTGGAAGAGGGGATACTCTGGCCAAAGGGGAAAGGAGAGCTTTTGGATGAGCTCAAGCTTTGGTGTCAGTAGATGAGGCAAAGAAGAGAGCAGGAGTACTTGAAGGGATTTTAAAGAAGGAAGTGATGACCCTTACAAAGCACTAAGGGAAGAAGGTAGAATGTTTGGTTATAGTTGCTGGGTTGTCTGGTGGAGATGGCTATGCCAGATTGAAAGACAAGCTGTGGAAAATTCTGAGGACATGGTCAGGGCATGTGCTCACTCATCCATGTACCTGTCCACTTGTCTACTCGCTTGTGCCTTGTTTAACTCATCCATCTGTCCAACTAGCAGTCCCCCCATCAGGTACTCACCTACCCAGTTGCTCAGTTAGTCTGTCTGTTCGTCTGTGCATCCCTCCCTACTTCCCTTCCTTCCTGAGCGCCCATTCTGGGCAAGCCTGCCACTGAGATTAGATAAGAAAACCCTAGAAGATTCTGAGTTCATTCCACAGCCAAATTACCCCATAGCACTGGTGATTGGTGTCAAGCCTGCATGTGGGGCAGGGGGCCTCACACTTCAGGTGAACTCTCTGCCACTTATGGCATGTGACTTTGGTCCAGTGACCTGAGTTAAGCCTATCTGTACAATGGGCATAGTAATGGTACATTAATGGGCATAATAATCCTAAGATTAAATAGAAAGGCGAGTGAGCATGGTGTGTGCAAAGCTTGAAGGCATAGTCTGTCACATCGCTTAACATGAATAAGGCACTAGAAACAGGAGCGTATCATGAGCACCCTTCACCTGTTCGCTGTATTACTCTTTGTGGTTATTACCATGTAAAGCACTTTAGAAGTTCCCACATACACCTCCTAATAAGAATTTCATTATTGTAAGGAAGTCCAAGCCACAGATTCTCTATCCAGGTAAGAGGTCACTTCTGTTGCCTTATTTGTGAAGACCAGGCCTTATGAAAGAGAAGGATATATTGAGGGGGGTCAGCGAAGACTGTTAGGGCTCCTAGGCAGTGTGTCCATGGAGTTGCTGCCCTGTGACTTACACTCAGAGCCTGTGTGACTTTTTGCTTAAATAGTGCAAGAGTCAGCAGAAAACCAGAGAGGTCTTAGGTTAAGGAGCAGATCATGTGCAGAGTGTGACAAGTGAGAGCTCCGTGTGTCTGTCTGCTGCAGTTTTTCATTCTGCAGCAGCAAACGTGTAAATTGTAAGGAAACAATGCACAGTACGCACAAGAATTGTGAATTTTTTTTTTTTTTTAATTTTAGGGAAGGGTCTACAGGGTGTTCAGGATCTCAGTACTAGATTGGACTCATAGTGATCTGCCTGTTTACAGATCACTGTAATCCCAAGAGCTGGGATTAAGGGTATGCCCCACCACACCCAGTCTCAATTGCTGTCTCAGTGCGCCCTGGGGGTGGGACCAGCACTGCAGGCCAGGGGATCAAACCCCTGGCCCCTGTGCCTGCTTGCAGGTGCTTTAATCTGCTGAGCTATTTGTCCAGCCCTAAGAGTTGTGAAATTTTTAATCAGACAAATCAGTTCAAGTTTGTGTAGAAGTTCAACTGAAAATTTTTAAATTGGGGACAAATTTACCAAATGATGTATTATAATTCTTTAGTGCCATATTAATTTAGACTGCAGTACTGTCACAGTAAGAGATAGCACTCGTTCAGTGGGAGAGGAATCCAGAAACACCCATGCTTACTTGAAAATTAATTGCTTGTTAAATTAGAGGAAATTTATATTCATAACATGCTGTTTGAAGCAGTGACAGTCCCTGTAAACCAATTTAGAGTTATCTGGATCAGGCCATATTAAAAAATGAAATCCAAACAAAGATCTAAAGACAATAAACAGAATTATAAAAATCCTATGGAAAATTATAGGTGAGAATTTCTAAGTCTAGAAATATAGAAGGCTTTCCTTAAAAAGCCACAGAACTTGGAAGTATTGAAGTAATGACATTTAAATTCATGCAGGTTTTAAAATGTTACACAGTTGAAGACTTATGACAGACATGGGGAAAACTTTGAAGTTTATAACAAAAAGGTTGCTAGCCTTAAGATAGGCAAGAAGCCACAAATAATGAAGAATAAGCAAGTAAAACCCAGGGTCTGGTAGGGCATGGTTGTCCTTGCCTGTAATCCCAGCACTCCCAAGAGGTTGAGGCAGGGGGAGGATTGGAAGTTTGAGCCCAGTCTGTACAACTTAGTGACTTGCTGAATGACACCTGTCACAAAACAAAATAAGCTGGGGATACAGCTCAGTGCAAAGGCCCTGAGTTTAACTTGTAGTCTGTTTTTTTTATTTTTTATTTTTTGGTACTGGAAGTCAAAACTCAAGACCTCAGTCTTGCCAGGCAGGTGCCATGCTGCTGAGCTATATCTCTGGTCCAATTTCTAGTACTTAGAGAATTGTAACCACCCAACCAACCATGGCAGAAGGTGGACTCTGAAGCTATGCTTGCAGCACCTATCCATGCCTGAGCCCACTTGTTGATGAAGCAGTGCTGTGTCTTGAGTGGCTCCCCTCTCCCAGTACCCTGCTGGGTGCAGAGGCAGTGTAGAATTAAAGGTCACAAGTTCAGCGTAGGGCAGGAAGTGACCTCGCTTAAGGATTCGGCCTAGTTCCAGTAGAGCTGTATGCGGGGTCCTGCAGGCTTTGCAGCCAGCCCTGGCAGGAACCAAGCTCCTCAGGTCAGAGTTAGGTAGGTACAGGCGCTCCCCCCTCCCCGCCATGCGGATCTGTGCCAGAAAACCTTTCTTCTGTCCTGACCTTCCATCTGCCTTAGAATTGGAAGTTTGCCTTAGAAGTTTGCCTTAGAATTGCCTGCGTGGCTTTTGGGGAACTGTTTGTTTGGCTTTAATTTCTTCCTTGCATCTAGAAACTTTTTTTCTTTTTTCTTTTCTTTTATTTTCTTTTATTTTTTTTCTTTTCAAAGTTTTATTGATAAACATATAGCAATGAGACAGTTTCAAATCAAATCGAAAGTACAGTTTCAACAAATAATACACTGCATATATTCTTCTTAGTGGTTAATTGCTGTACAAGATGCAGACTTGTGATCCTACTTACAAACACCAAAACTTTTTTTCTATGCTTGTGGATTTTATTCAAGATAGCTCATTCATTTCTCAAGTAGCTAAAATAATACACTTGGATTTCAGATGTCCAGTGGAGCCACAGAACAGAAGCAGGATGAACATTTCCTTTCGCATTGGCAGTGCCAAGGGAGATGATGCTCTGGAGAAAAGATTCCTGGATAAAGCACTCGAGCTCAATATGATCTCCTTGAAAGGGCACAGGTAAGTACGCCTCCTCCCTATCCGGAAGCTGGCCTGAGATTTGGTTTCCCTTTTCAAGTGCAAGATGAAACACACGAGAGGTTACTGAGCTGGGGCTAGCAATTGTGTGACTTTGGAGAAATTGTGTGCCTGCCTCGGACTGCAGAACCCACAGCACTGGTTCCTGGCTAGGGGTGGGGGAGCGACATCCGTGGTGCTTTCGTCAAAGTCAGGTTTCTTCAAAATCGCTTAGCCAGTTCCTAGCACAGAGCCTGCCCTGTCCTGGTGTTAGAGCGTTGCTGCGACTCCAGCTGAGCATCAGAGAGACTCTAGGCTTAACTTTGCAGACAAGACAGTGGCTGTCCTTACACACGAGAGCCACAGTGGCAGCGAGATGTCCACCGCCCACATGGCCAGCACTGTGGGGCAAGTGCTGGAAAGGCTCTTGCCCACATTGAGTTTTTATGTATCCAGAGTGAGTAGTTGCAGTTGATGCAGAGTGAGCATGATGGGTTGTCGCTGCACAAGAGAGACTTTCCTAATGAAAGAATTGGAAGCTCTGTGCCACCTGTTTAGGATTTTCAGGTGAGACATTGGTCACAGTGACTGTCAGGAGAGGAATTAGGGAAGGGTCATGGTGAGTGTGTGTGTGTGTGTGTGTGTGTGTGTGTGTGTGTGGTACTAGGGATGAAGCTGGGGCCTCACATGTGCTACACAAACACTTGACTATTGAGTGACACCCTCAGCCCAATGCTTGTGTTCTCAATTGCTTGATCTCACTTTAGGTCTGTGGGAGGCATCCGGGTTTCTCTGTATAATGCCGTCACAGTTGAAGACGCTAAGAAGCTGGCTGCCTTCATGGAAAATTTTTTGGAAATGCATCAACTGTGAATACATCGTAACTCATCTACACGCTGCTCTTGAGTGACAAAGTTTAGAGTAACTTGGGAAATGGCTTCATTAATATGAAAGACATGATATTTTTTTTTTTCAAATGAACATGGTAATGGTAAATTCTTCAGTTTGCAAAGATTATGGCAAAACTGTCAAGAGTTCTGCAAAGCTGATGAGATTACCAGCTAATGGCCACCTTACTCCTGATTCAGACTGGAAGCATTTTTTTAAATCTTCCTGTTGCTTTTCTAACAATCTCCAGTCTAATTTTGTCTTTGCTGCTGCTTTTCTTAGGTAAATATTAGTATTGTAACTTGCCTGGGACTTACTTGTGCCTGTGGCCATTATTTGTGGAGTCACGCAAGCATAGCACCGGTTTGAGGTGGAGCTGTAACTCTGAATCAAGACAGTGGTGGGGTCTGTTGGCTCCCGGGGTAAACGCTGATGTTGACAGTGGCGAGGGTTCTGGAATTCCCGGTGAAAGGTGGATAGGGATACCTGTACTGTTACCTTTATAAAGAGATAAAGTGACTTACTATAAAAAAAAGAGAAAAATTTGAGACATAACAATTCTACAGTTATAAATAAGTAAAAATAAAATTTAAAAATGGATTTTGACTGAGGACATTGGAAACCTATTCAATAATATTG